CCTGCATTCAGCAGCTAACTTCGCGTTGGTCAACAAAATGTTGCATACTTTATGGCACTGGGCAAATAATATTCGCGTGCTGCATAAAAAGCGACGGCTCCTGCTCCAGCACCGGCCTTTGTTGTTGGGCGATTGAGTGGCATGTAGCGTTAGTTACAGTGGCCCCAAAAATGTATGTAACAAGCACAGCGATTACACACCCACTACCCCAATTCTCTGCCACCCCTCCCTAAAAAAAGCGATCTGATGTGAGTAACTTTGACCCGTTTTGTGGCCAGCAGCAGCGCGAGTTGAAACAGGAAATGCGGAAAAAAATCAAATCCATGGGAACGTTTTTACCAATTTTTGTTCACTCGATTTTTATTTGCTAAATAATGGTGCCTACCACTGTTGGGTGGGCAAATGGAAGGGCAAAAACATCATCAATGGTATCAAATACGAGGGACGGCGAAGCGGGATAGCCAGAGGCTGTGCTTTGAGGGTGATCCAAAGCAACACTCTTAGCCTCCCCAAAAAATTTACACACAAATGCATTCGCTACTAAGCCCTTATTCTATGCTTTCATTGTTGGTGGAAATGCACATTGCGGTTCATAATGCCCTACTACTTTGAGGATCTTTATCAGTTTTATAATATGACCAGAGATTATTTTTATTGTTTCCCTAATAAAAGCTGAAAAATCTTGAAAATTTGTATATGATTTTTTAACATAAATTATATAGCAATATTATAAAGGGAGAGCATTCTAGCTTCTTCTTGATTATCACAAAGTCTCACCTTTCTATGCAGCTGCATTTTTTGTTGCCAATTGTTATTGCACTTTGTTCATTTCTCGCGGCAAGTGCAAAGCATAAAATAAGTACGCTGATGCCGCCCCACCTTTTCCGCCTTCTACCGCGTTTCACCTGCAGATGCATTCGCTTTTTAGCTAGAACAGTTGCAACAACAGTTTCCACTAGCCCCGCACCTGAACCGCTCCACTCTTTGCCTTTGTGCGTGTTGGGCAAAAAAATGAAATAGAAATTGCAACGGAAACGCGAAAATTTTATAATAGCGCACACAGGGCGTATGAGTGGTGGCAGTTGCCATGGCGACATTCAGGCACCAAATATGCAGATGATTTGAGAACAATGGACTGGAGATATATGAGTGCTATTCAAATATATATTTGGATTACGGTCAGGCGAGAGATTTTGTAGCATTACTGGTGAAAGATATGAAGTGATCGTAATGGCTGAAAAAAAACGGATCACTCGTAAATATTATGAATTTTAGATTGTAGGGCTGGTCTGCTCGGGGCACTAGAAATAGAAAAAAAACTTTTTAATCATACATCGGCATTTAAAAATCAATGCAGAGCTTACCCAGCCATAATCCCAATTTTGGACTATCAAACTAAGCCAGTTATTACCTGATTCATAACACGCCCTTTGTCGCTTTTTTGGGCGTTGAACAAATAAATAACTTGCCACCCTATTCAAATACCAGAGTCACATACAACCTATGTAAACGCACACATATCACTTATGTATATCGCTTTCAATATTTCATATATACGACAGGGTATTTGTTGTGAGTTGTTACGCTCTCCACCCATTCGATCGCCCAGCCGACGGCTAAAACCGTGCCTGGTAACTAATTTGAAACTGTCCTGACGTATCCTACCCACACCACTTCCACTGATTTTTTCTATATTCTCAATATATATTTTTTGTTATTTCGGTGAACTGGCTCCATCACGTAGAATGCAGTTCCCATGTTTTTGCCGCTCACTTTTTGTAATTGCTTTGACCAACGTAGATATTATTTTATTGTACAAACTTTTTTTCGGGGCTTTTATATATATATAGTTTTTTATACATATATAAATTCTATGGCGCAGTACATGCATTTAATGCATTCGAGGGTTGCAGCTGGATTTTTAACCCAAATGGAATGCACCTAAATGGAAAAAAGTTCTGGGGCTCTACTGGAATAGGAATGTCCTGCTGGAAGTTATTTGGCCGCAGGATTCCATTGGCCTTTTTAGGTTCCCTGAAAAGTCATTCTTTTTGGTATATTTTCCAAGTTACAACTCTCTCGTCAACTTTCTAATCAAGTGTGTTCACAACTTGGACCACATCTTTCAATTTCTTTCGCCAATTGAGTTCACCCTGCAAGCCCTTCTCCGACATCTTTGACTATTGAAGAGCTAGCCACACACATTTTCTATTAATTAAAACGAAACTGGAATCGAGAACGAAACTGTGACTAGACAAAGACTTGGGGTCAAACCACTTGCAAAAATTTTTCAAAGTCCAAGGCTGAGACGGAACAGGAACAACTCCGTCGGGAGTCTTTGTGACTGCATGAGGCGCCTTGTTTGGGATTCTACTTACAGATTTGGTTTGAGCTCCTTATGCACACGACTTAGGCTCATCCCCGGCAACCTTGACTTTGCCAGCAGCCGCCGGTCTAAGATGAGGGGCTATCCCTTCTTGGCAAGTAATTTGTTTTGGGCCTGACAGCAGCCCACGAGGCGTATGAGTAACACCTGCCAGGCAGGAAAACACGCACACACATAGACATACTAGAGGAGTGCCCATAAATCCTAGAATTTACTTCCATTTCAAGTCTCGCCTGTGTGATGGGGAAAGTTGCTTTTGAAGTCGCTCACACAAAATTTGTAACCCTTTTTCGGTAGCGCCCCGAAAGATGGGAGTTGGTAGGAAGCTCCTCTAAATTTCAGAAATATGCGGGCTTGTGGCATCTTAGTAGTTAAGGCAAAGGCAAAGCTAAGGGGCAGGCAGAGTTCAATGCAGAAGGCTGCTCCCCAAAAACTAACAACCGATGAGGTGACAGGGTGGAGGATAAACATGTGCCGTTCGTTCCTGGCTGCCAGCCTAAAAGCAGACTTTGACTTCGACTGCGTCTGGAGCACACTACTACTACAATGCCAACCAGGCAACCTCTAAGCACACGCATAATGAATTACCACCCAGCCAGGAATCGTCCTGCGTCCTTCGTTCTAAGTCCTCCGCCCTACTTGCCTTCCCTTTGCCGCCAACTGCCGATGACATATTTCTCCAGACAGAGGCTGCCATTCCCTTCCTGCTGAGCAGCGCCTAAAAGGCAGCTAAGAAAATTTGCGTTTAACTCATAAGTGCGTGAAAGGGTTGCCAGGACCTGAGCCCCAGTCTCCCAGTCGTTCCATCTCATCCCATCTCCTACTCCTTTTCCCAACCAGACCAAACAACATCCCAGCCAGGGGTTGCCTCTGTGCACTGTCAAGGAAATTGTAGTTTAAATGAAATGGAAGTTGTTTTATCAACGACGAAGAAGGTGGTTTGGGGGCTTAGGGTTTCGGATTGGGAATGGAAACGGGTGGGGGTTAGTGTGTGTGAGCTTTCTTAGAACTTCTCCCTCGTGTGTATGTGTGTATATAAATTAAAATGCCTAAACATATGCATTAGTTTTTGTCTCAGTCTCACACCCCCTTCACATGTGTGCCTGTGTCTGTGTGTGTTTCGAGGTTTGGGGTAACTCCAAAGTTTTTGTGGTTACGACATCGGTTTTCGGGGGAGGTGCGAGAGAGGATGCTTGAGACAAGCTCTGGAATCGGTTGGTTCTTAGGGAACGGGGCGAACTGTCAGTCTCGAGTCGGTCTCGAGCTGTGGCCTGACAACTTAGTCTAATGAGAATTCAAATTCGAAACCCAACTACGCAATCGTGCTGAAGAAATTAAAAGAAATTGCACATGATGTGCTGCCGTGTGTGTGTATGTGAGTGTGCCTGTGTATTGAACGGTATGATATATATGTATAAGCGTGCAAGGCTGTAGGTAAGAAATCAAATATTTGTTTCACTTTCTGGCTAGAGAATATTTGTTCAAACTCAACTCGAAGGCCGAAGGTAAAATAAAATCGTACGAAGCTCCAAAGAGATGCAAGCTATAGGGGAAAAAATTGTCTCATGGTAATTAACTTATAAATAAAAAAGGTACATCCTTAACTACAGCTAGGGCAGATAACAGAATACACTCAAAAAATCCTATGAACTGATATATCGAATTCAGCTTGCAACTCTATTGAAAACTTTTGTCGCTCCAAAAAAATCAACAATTTATTTCCCTTACCTATACACCCCAGAGATCCCCAGAGTTAATGTTAATTAAGACTTGAAGTCCATTCACGTTTAGAGGGAAAAAGAAGGAAGCCTCAATCTCGATGGCCATCCACACGGAACACAGCTTCATTTGTGCTGCCATTCCCAGTCCCAATCCCCAATCTCAGAACCCCGCCTTAGGAGTGTCCTTCAACCACAAAAACCAAAGGAGTGCGGAGGAAAAATGCTTGTGTGCCGGACGCCGAACGTCTTGGGCGAAATGTTTCATTAGAGCGATGTTGGCCGCAAAGGAGCTGGACGGGCACCCAAGCCCGTAAACCCTCTTCCCCCCTTAAGTGACCCAACTCCTGCCCACCATGTCGACTAATTTCCAGTGCACAAAAGGCGTACAGTGAAATAAGGCAACCCCAAGAATGGACAGGCAGGAAAAAAGAAGCAGGACTAAGGATGAACTGGACCTGGCCTGAAGATGAAAGTCGGAAAAACTTTCCTCGTGAAGCCTCATGGTCTGGGGTTTTAGGACGCTTTCTTTGACGTTGCGTCTTTTTTGCATTCTTTTGAATGGTCTAACGAACTTCCAACTGGTTCTACTTCTAATCATTGGGATTTGGCATATCGAACAAAGTCCCAAAAGTTTGTGTGGTCTTGGAAAAGTTCGCTCATCGTTTCCTAAAAAAAGCCACCCAAAAAGGTATAACCGTTTTACAGGCCGAAAGTGAAAATTTTCTTACAAGAAATTATTTTAAGGGTCAGGTGTTTTAAGGTGTCTTTTACGCAGGTACTTAGACGGAGTTAATTGAATGAATTCCAAATATTCTAATAAATAAGTTCTTATAACTCAAAATTGTTTCAAAAATGAATGGTAAGCTAATCCATAATTTTTGCTTACCTTTTAGGAAACCATTCCGGCAACACCGGTCGTGAGCACCGATACCACCGCTGGTGTGGTTGGTGTTGGAGTCACCGGAGGAGGAGCGGGTGCTAGCGCAGGAGGCGGAGCTGGTGGCACCGGTGGACTTCTGGGCGAGGTGGTCAGTGGACTGGGCGGCGGCCTTGTCAGCGAATCCGAAGCCTATGCCGGTTTGATGAAGGACGCCGATAAGCTGAAACTGATGCTACTAGCCTGGAATTATCAGAATTCGACGGCAGTGCGAAATGGAACCGAGGGTCCCGATCTTAGCGTGGTTGGTGGTCTGTGGGCACAGTACCAAAATGCCTTGGCCCAGAATGCAGCTGCAGCGGCGGCGGCCAGTGGCAAGATGGACAGCTCATTGTCGCCGGTACCGCGCCAGGATGCTCACTCGCCCATGGAGACGCAGGACGAGACGAACTCTTCTGGTCAGAAGGAGGAGGACGAGGTGTCCGAGGATGACTCCGATGATAAGCTGGATGAGAAACTGGCCACCACACACGATCCCGAGCGGCTCAAAGCCTTTAATGTGAGTAAAGCGTGAGCTGTGAGTGAGCGGCGAATGTAAAGCCAAGCGTTGCCAAAGATTCGCCAGATATCTGGTTACTGTTACAAACGGCGTTATTATAACTTTCTCTCCTTCCTTTCAGATGTTCGTCCGTCTGTTTGTCGATGAGAATCTAGATCGCATCATCCCCATCTCGAAGCAGCCAAAAGAGAAAATCCAGGCCATCATTGACTCTTGTGCCCGGCAGTTCCCCGAGTTCAGCGATCGATCCCGCAAACGCATCCGCACTTATCTCAAGTCGTGTCGTCGCAATAAGAAGACCCGCGATGGATGGGAGAATACGGTAAGTTTAGATAAAATAACATTAGCTATAAACGTTTCTTAATTTATAATTTAAAACTAACACAAACCTTTGCCCTACTCTTTTAGACCCGACCCACTCCCGCACATCTGACGTCCGTGCAGGCGGAGCAAATCCTGGCCATTGCCTGCGAAAACGAGTCCATGAATGCCAAACGGATGCGCATCGGCCTGGAGCCCATTACGCACGCAGTTCCCGCTCCTGGAAGTGCAGTAGCCGCAGCAGCAGCAGCAGCGGCAGCCGCTGCGGTAGTGGCTGCCACGAGTTCTGGCGCCGGCGGCACCAGCACCACCACCGCCGGAAATGCCACAGCTACCTGCGGCATGGGTGGAGTGGCGGATGCCGCCGGACTGACCAGTGTGGCAGCCGCCGCCCTTCCTTTTGTCAGTGCCGTTGGCTTTGCCCGGTCCACACCGAACTCAGAGCACGCGGATGTTCTGCCCTTCGGAGGGGCGAGCACTGTGGGCGGCAGTGGGGGCGGTGGCGCTGCCGGCGGAGGTGGTGGCGGGATGAGCTCGGCGCGCAGCTCTCCTTTGGCCCTTAGCTCGAATGCCAGCGTGAGCGGTGGCGCCAGTGTCACTGGTTTGACCCTGGCCAATGGAGCTGGTGCCTCCAACGGAGCCGGTCTGCCGGCCAGCAGTCCTTACACCACGGACTTTAGTTCTCCCTCAACGGCCTCGCCTTTTGTAGCTGCGGCTGCGGCCGTGGCCGCTGGCCGAGCTCCCAGCTATCCCGGATACTTTCCAGGAGTCGCTGGACTAGGAAATGGTGAGTAAAACTACTTATCTTTTAACTTCTCCTACATAAAATATCGAACCTTTTTTGTAAGACATGAAATATAAATCTTATCTTCTTTCCAGTTACGCCCACCGATCTCTCGATGAAGCCAACCAGCCTGTCCAGCGGCCTTGGCGGCAACTTGGTTAGTAACAACAACAACAGCTCCGTGGCCGGCAACATCAATTCCCAGCTGAGTGCTGCCAATTTGGCCAGCCTGAGTAATGCGAACAACAACAATGCATTAGTGACTGCCACCCAGCAGTTGCAACAGCTCCAGCAACAGCAGCAGCAGCAACAACAACAGCAGCAACAGCAACAGCAGCAACAACAACAGCAGCAACAACTCCTGGTTGCCGGCGGTGGCGGGATGGATGGTCAATCCGTTCGAGCGCCGCCAATCCTACCACACAAACTGAGCGCCAACGAAGTGACAGCCGCCCGGCAGGTGATATCCGCTTACCGCGAAAGTGCCGCCTTTCTGCTCCGCACCGCCGACCAGGTAGAGCAGCTGCTCGTCCAGCAGCAATAGGCGTGGCCCGAGAACCGAGCAGGGTTGTTCCTATTTTAAATTAAATTTAAAATGTATTACACACACACTCCAAACAAGTGAAACACACACAAGCCAAACTAAGCGAAAATAGTCAAACCATATAGCGCAAAACACGAAGAAGACGACGAATTAACACTGGCTCACAGGATGCAAGGCAGAACCATATGTAGTTAAAGAAGTTCGTTCAAACAAAACATTTTAAGTGTTTTTTCCTCCAACTACGTACAGCATATTTAAAGAAAATAGAACTTAACGATAAACAAAAACCAAAAGAAATATTGCAAATATCACAACAGTAAAATAGTAGAGCTGCTCCAGTTAGCTGACTTGGATCTCAACTAAATTCCATATAAACTTCACTTCGGTTTCCATAGACATTAAATAGTATCCACTAAACGGGATGGTTTCATTGGATTCTCTTAAACTAATTTGAATTTGAATTTTCCTTTAAAATAGTTCTTTATAAACGATCAAAATCAGATACCATTCAGATAGCAAAGGCGGCTCTAGTTAAAATAAAACCAAGCAGCAGTTCAATGTACTACAGTGTCTACTAAAAGTAAACCTACAATAGCCATACACCAACACTCGCATTGATTTTGTTTCAACTTTTTATTATCGCATATTTTTGGACTCTCGTCCTTTGGAGAGCAGCAGATTCCGGGCCCGTTTTTAAAGTGCGCGATTTGTTAAAAAAAATTAAATATAATTAATAAGTTGAAGTATTGTTGTAAATTTTAAGAAAATGGATAAAAAAAGGATAAAACCGAAAAAAAAACGTAAAACTATGAGAAAACACAGGGTGATACTTTGAAAAATTATTACAATGCATAAGCTAAAAATTAATAAAAGAAAATGTAAAAAAAATTTATGGAAATGAAGTAAGGCATAGATGTTGGTAAATGTGTATTTAACGTTTAGAAATTACATTTGTATACTGTTTCCAGGATTTATTGTTCTTAATTACCATAAATTTGAGTTTTTCAACTTGTTTCCCCTTTTTTATTAGGTGTATATAATTTTCCAGTTTTTATTCTGAGAGATTTTTGGTTTAACTGTTGCTTTTTACTCACATTCGATTATTAAATAGATACGGAATAAAATATTTAAATACAAAATAGCCATTCATGTTTTTTGCAAATATAAATGTGCATGTAAAAATAAGGAAAACTCTAACACAAAAACATTGAAGAACACGCATGGAACATCGGTATGTATGAGTGTGCAGAAGGATATTGAGATCCGTAATGCAAGGCAAATTATAGAATTTAATTATATAAATTAATTGCTAAAATTATTTAATCACGAATAATTACTGACTACACCTAAATAAATACTCCAAACAAACTTGATAAATGGCTTGCAAGCAGGAGAAATATTTATACGGAATACTTAAATATAATGTAATGTGTGGCATTTGCATTGAAGAGTAAACTAATTAAACTAACACGAGGGCAACACAAATGAAACAAGACATTTTAAAAATCGAATTAATAAAGAATTTATGAGAATTATATGTACATTAAAAGAGCTTGAATTTTTATTGGGGATTTCTGTGGTTATTGTCTTGTGAAATAAGACAATGGGATCATTTTCTTGCTTTACAATATCTTAGATTCTCTATCGTCCTCTACCACTATTAAGTCCGAAATGTGTTGGCAGAATGTTATTTCCGAAAATAAGGGCAGCACAGTAATATCTACATACATATTTCCACTGAAAGCGACATTTGCCTTTCAATATTATTTTCAAATGTAGATGGCGCCACTTTTTTTTAATTTCCATTCACATGTAGGTGGAGATAGTTTTTTTTTCAATAAAAGTTGTTGCAAAACCTTTACTTTTAATATTAAAAAAAAATTTACACAAAACCTACACAATTTTTTGCAGAATGTAAGTTTTTATTTAAAATTTATAAAAATTGCTTTATCTATATGTATAAAAGTTATATTATTTTCCGAAAATATTTCCAAAGGGAAGAGGTAATCTTGGTGGAGGCCGAGGAAATGCAGGAATCGGCGGAGGAGGTGGCAGAGGCGGTAAAGGTAATGGTAGTATAGCAATCACAGCAGATTCCGAATCTGGTACGGCTCCTAGGAAAGGGAATGGTGGTAGTGGTATCGGTGGTGGAAGTGGTAAAGCTGGACCGCCACCAGCAACTTCATGGTGGTGATGATGATGATGGTAATGAGCTTGGGGGTTTGTGGGAGTGCTGGTTGTTGTTGTAGATGTCAATTCTTCCGTGGCGGTAGGAGCGACTATAGTTGTTGTTATTTGTGCAGTGGTTGTCGGAGCTTCAGTGGTGCTTGTTAAATCTTCTGTGGTTGTTCTTATTTCTGAAGTGGTTGTTGGAGCTTCAGTGGTGGTTGTTAAATCTTCTGTGGATGTTGTTATATCTGTAGTGGTTGTTGGAGCTTCAGTGGTGGTTGTTAAATCTTCTGTGGATGTTGTTATTTCTGTAGTGGTTGTTGGAGCTTCAGTAGTGGTTGTTAAATCTTCTGTGGTTGTTCTTATTTCTGAAGTGGTTGTTGGAGCTTCAGTGGTGGTTGTTAAATCTTCTGTAGATGTTGTTATTTCTGTAGTGGTTGTTGGAGCTTCAGTGGTGGTTGTTAAATCTTCTGTGGATGTTGTTATTTCTGTAGTGGTTGTTGGAGCTTCAGTGGTGGTTGTTAAATCTTCTGTGGATGTTGTTATTTCTGTAGTGGTTGTTGGAGCTTCAGTGGTGGTTGTTAAATCTTCTGTGGATGTTGTTATTTCTGTAGTGGTTGTTGGAGCTTCAGTGGTGGTTGTTAAATCTTCTGTTGTTGTTGTTATTTCAGAAGTGGTTGTTGGTGCATCAGTAGTGGTTGTTAAATCTTCTGTGGATGTTGTTATTTCTGTAGTTGTTGTTGGAGCTTCAGTGGTGGTTGTTAAATCTTCTGTAGATGTTGTTATTTCTGTAGTGGTTGTTGGAGCTTCAGTGGTGGTTGTTAAATCTTCTGTGGATGTTGTTATTTCTGTAGTGGTTGTTGGAGGCTCAGTGGTGGTTGTTAAATCTTCTGTAGATGTTGTTATTTCAGTAGTGGTTGTTGGAGCTTCAGTGGTGGTTGTTAAATCTTCTGTGGATGTTGTTATTTCTGTAGTGGTTGTTAAGTCTTCTGTGGATGTTGTTATTTCTGTAGTGGTTGTTGGAGCTTCAGTGGTGGTTGTTAAATCTTCTGTGGATGTTGTTATTTCTGTAGTGGTTGTTGGAGCTTCAGTGGTGGTTGTTAAATCTTCGGTGGATGTTGTTATTTCTGTAGTGGTTGTTGGAGCTTCAGTAGTGGTTGTTAAATCTTCTGTGGATGTTGTTATTTCTGTAGTGGTTGTTGGAGCTTCAGTGGTGGTTGTTAAATCTTCTGTGGATGTTGTTATTTCTGTAGTGGTTGTTGGAGCTTCAGTGGTGGTTGTTAAATCTTCTGTGGATGTTGTTATTTCTGTGGTGGTTGTTGGAGCTTCAGTGGTGGTTGTTAAATCTTCTGTAGATGTTGTTATTTCTGTAGTGGTTGTTGGAGCTTCAGTGGTGGTTGTTAAATCTTCTGTGGATGTTGTTATTTCTGTAGTGGTTGTTGGAGCTTCAGTGGTGGTTGTTAAATCTTCTGTGGATGTTGTTATTTCTGTGGTGGTTGTTGGAGCTTCAGTGGTGGTTGTTAAATCTTCTGTGTAGGTTGTTATTTCAGAAGTGGTTGTTGGAGCTTCAGTAGTGGTTGTTAAATCTTCTGTGGATGTTGTTATTTCAGAAGTGGTTGTTGGAGCTTCAGTGGTGGTTGTTAAATCTTCTGTGGATGTTGTTATTTCTGTAGTGGTTGTTGGAGCTTCAGTGGTGGTTGTTAAATCTTCTGTGGATGTTGTTATTTCTGTAGTGGTTGTTGGAGCTTCAGTGGTGGTTGTTAAATCTTCTGTGGATGTTGTTATTTCTGTATTGGTTGTTGGAGCTTCAGTGGTGGTTGTTAAATCTTCTGTGGATGTTGTTATTTCTGTAGTGGTTGTTGGAGCTTCAGTGGTGGTTGTTAAATCTTCGGTGGATGTTGTTATTTCTGTAGTGGTTGTTGGAGCTTCAGTAGTGGTTGTTAAATCTTCTGTGGATGTTGTTATTTCTGTAGTGGTTGTTGGAGCTTCAGTGGTGGTTGTTAAATCTTCTGTGGATGTTGTTATTTCTGTAGTGGTTGTTGGAGCTTCAGTGGTGGTTGTTAAATCTTCTGTTGTTGTTTTTATTTCAGAAGTGGTTGTTGGTTCATCAGTAGAGGTTGTTAAATCTTCTGTGGATGTTGTTATTTCTGTAGTGGTTGTTGGAGCTTCAGTGGTGGTTGTTAAATCTTCTGTTGTTGTTTTTATTTCAGAAGTGGTTGTTGGTTCATCAGTAGTGGTTGTTATATCTTCTGTGGATGTTGTTATTTCTGTAGTGGTTGTTGGAGCTTCAGTGGTGGTTGTCAAATCTTCTGTGGTTGTTGTTATTTCAGAAGTGGTTGTTGGAGCTTCGGTGGTTGTTGTTACTTCGTCAGATGGTGTAGTGTGCCTGCATCTTGGTAATTCCGGAAATATTTTACAATCATGAGATTCTTTTCTTTTTGAATCTGCTGCTGCAGTTACGGAATACGCTAATGTAAATGTCCACAGACAAAGAACAAAAGTGCACCGATTGATCTGAAAAATTAAAGTTACTGTGCATTTAGTGTTGGACTCAGCGGAACTGCTCTTACCATGTTGAGTTCCTTGCAGTCACTGAGACCTTGAAACTTGTAGCAACTATTTATGTAAATACTGCTCTTCAATTTTCTTTGTTCCGTTTCAGATAGGCTAAAGAAAGTACTTCCTTCTTTGTCAAGTACAAACAGATAGTGGCGTAAGTGCATCTTTATTGTTTTATAGATAGCGTCGTCTGGTAAAATTTCTGTATTTATTGGATTTCTAAAAAGCTTTTAGGCTCTTGTCTGTTTAACACGATATGCTATCAAAGTTTAAGAATTGTTTAGCCTATATTCAAATACTTTTGCCTTTTAAATATGCAAAGTAAACCAAAATGAAAAAAATAGCAAGTTATTCTTATCTTTATTTTATTTATTTTACAGAATTTTGTAAATTAATTTGCATTTGATTGAATGCCAAAAATAAATTATATGTGAACTTAGCTTAGATCATAATCAGATTCCACCTTTCTAGGTTTTTTACACATTATCTGCTTCTTTCTTAAATTGAACTATTTGTAATGACTGTTTTATGAAGGCGAAAAAGAAAAAAATACAGAAAAGTTTATGGAAGCACCCGATCGTTGTGTATATATCTATTATACTCGATGGATTCGCACCAGTTCTCTAAAAGATTGTAATTTCTTAAGTCCAGTCAGGGACTTTGGCAAGATTTCACTAACAATTTTGGATGTGGTTGATGAAACTCCTCTTCGCTTAAACTAAATCTTAAGGTCTAAACAATAAACTGCTTGAGAAAGGGCCGCTAAATGCCCCGGCAGCTTTAATCTCTTCACGCCAGAACTCCATCCAACGCATGAATTACTCCATTGGTGGCTGGAATGTTCGATGTGACCATCTGGGCATCGTTGACCTTAATCTTGCCGGCTGATGTCTTCTGCAGGATTACGGTCTTGCCAGTAGACAGAGAGTCCTTGACCTGGTAGAAACGCATGCCGGCGGAGAAGAGAGCACCGGGAACAATGTGCTTCATGGCAAACTGCTCGGCGGCATCTTTGTCATTGTAGAGCTTTTCCAGAGTATCGGAATCCAGTTCGCTGAAGCTTTTGTCAACGGGAGCGAAAACCGTGTAGGTCTTGACACCTGTAAATCGCATTTTAAGTTACTATAATTTCCTTTTTGTTTTAAAACTACAATTAGTTCTTACCCTTGCTTTGCAGTTTCTCGGACAGTCCAGAGGTGTACAGAATCTTAAGGAAATTGCTGAAACGACCCTCGCGGTCAGATTGTAGGGTCTGCAGAATATCTCCAACTGGCAGTGGGAACATCACGCGATCGACGGCGTGAGCCACTCCCTGTGGGATCTTGATGTCCTTCTTGTTTAGAACAACCATGGCTCCGTTGATGGTGGTAAGCTATTAGAAAATATAAATTAGATTAGGTTTTATACTAAATAAATAATAACTTACAGTCACATCATTCCACTCCTGGTCATGCATGTTGTACTGATTAACTCGCAGTTGGGTTCCGGCCAGAGATACACCAGTCATCTCGTCCTGCAGGGTGGCAATTTCAAACGCTCCTGGAATCACGTGGTGGAGCAGTAGCTGCATATAAAAATAAAAAATGAAAACAAGAATTATTAGAAAAATCTTTATAAGAGGTTTGATATAAGCTTACCCCGCTCAATAATCTGGGATTCGACTGGAACTTCTCCTCGGCCCTTTCAGGTCCGCCCAACTGTACGAGCAGATTCTTGAAAGCCTTGTCCGTGGGGACAAAGATGGTGTAGGGTCCAGTTTCGTTGAGAATGGTGTCCAAGCCAGACTGTCTCAGATACTTGGCCATGGCGAAGAGTCCGTTGGTCTTGAGAATCTGAATAAGATCTTCACTAGGATTGGATAGCACAGAAGTGGTCGAAGGACTGGCTTGTGCCGCCTTCTCGGTGTTCTCCGTCTCCTGGACGAGGGCATCGGCATATTGGGGTACAGGTGGCAGAAGCTCAGGGTGGTTGGCCACATCGGAAAGCCGCTCAGTGACCACAGGCAGGTGAGTAGATACGCCTTCCAGATAAGGAGAAACTGTCACGGTTGATCCACCATAAATTGGTGATGGAGTTGTGCGGATCAAACTAGCCGCATTTGCGTGGGTCGTGCTGCTCTCGAAGATCAAGTTGTGGCGGGCCGTTGTGGGTGCAGTGGTTGTGGTGGTTGTTGTCGAAGTCCTCGATGGGTGATACTGCCTGTGGTTGCTAGGTGTTCCGCGGGAAACGAACGGTGTTGGAGTAGTAGTCGTTGTGGTGGTGGTTGTGCTTGTGGTTGCTGGGGCACGGGTAGTTTGGATGATCTTGCCGCTCTTAATCTCCACCAGCTCATCGTTGGGCAAGGTCAGACGGGAAACGGAGGGCGGTAGTTTAATCTCACCGCTCCTAATGCGCTCCAAGATGCTTTCCACTTCGGACCCGGTTTGCTTGGTCTCTTTCTCGCCATTAGCCTTAACTCCTTGGATCTTGAAGCTGCCATCGGTTTGCTCTTCAAGATAAACATAGGTGGCCTTCTTCTTGGGCGGTGGTGGTGGTGGTGCGGTGACCGGAGCCTGTGACTTCGGGCTCAGACCCTCGATTTCGTAGCCATCGGGAATCAATCCTCGCTTGGCCAGTTCTTCCAGGGATGGTGGGTCGTCTGAGTCCGAGGTAATGACGGCGGAACTGGCAATGCTGTTTGCTCCATTGCTAATGCCCTGAATGTCGCCGGCACCACCTCCATATAGAGCGGCCAAGCTAGAGAGATCCACACCACCCGGCAAAGCACCAGATGGCAGAGTATCAGACTCCTGAGGATCAGGAGATCGCAGAATCTGCACCTTTCCACCACCAGGCAGTTCAAGATCCTTGCTCTTAGTAGGAGCCACATCACTCAAACTGAGCTTAGCATCGCCGCCCAAAGCCTGCTGAGCCAGCAGAGTTTGTAGCTGCTCTTGTGAGTAAGCCTTTTGTCCCTGAACCAAGTTGGGATCTGTGGTGCGAATCACCTGAACCCGCTGGCCATTAGGAAGAACCAAATCCATCTCATCGTAGGTCTTGTTACCGGTCAGCGGTTGTTGTGGTGCCTCGGACAAGGCAGCCTTCAACTGCTTTAGCAGATCATCTCGAGCGATGGTCTTCACCGGTTTTTTGCCCTTTTGCGTTGGATATTTTCCCAATTCCGATTTCACCTGAGCATAGATGTTCTTCTTGGGAGTTGTAGTGGCCTCCGTGGTGGTGGTGGTTGTCGTGGTGGTTGTGGTCGTTGTTGGATGCTCTTTGTAGTACTGTTGCAGGGCACTGTTAAACTGATTGTACTCCGTGGGATGGGCCACTGGTCTTCCACGTGCCGGTGCCGCAACGTAGGGAGAGTTCTGGTAGTTTCCATTGTGTTGGGTCACAATCGTGGGTAGGATGTGCTGCTTGATCTGGTGCTGCTTGAGAAGGAACTCCTCATGTTGCTGGCGCACTTTGTTCTGCGACTTCTCGTACTGCTTGGCCACAAACTGTTCATGTTTCTGGATTAACTTCTGTTTGTATTCCTGATCAGCCGGTTGGGCCTGAGGCTGAATTGGGGAAGGAGCATTCACGAACTGGTGCTGGAACTGAGGTTGTTGCTGAGGCTGTTGCTGCTGGAAGGTTCCTCGAGTTGGTTCAGGGAATGGTGTAGCCTGGACATTACTAAAGATCTGAGGAACTGGTAGTCCCAATTGGGGAGTCAGCTGATATTGCTGCTGAGTGGTCTGTGGCTGAGGCTGATAGTTAAACTGGGACTGCTGCTGGGGAATCGTCTGGAAAGTTGGCACTGGCGCTTGGCTAGGCAACTTTTGTGTGGTCTGAGGCAGAACTTGCGGTCCAAATTGCTGGGGTTGCTGGAAGGCATACTGCTGTTGCTGCTGCTGCAATGGTTGATGCTGGTAAGTTTCCTGAGAGGGATGCGGGGGAAAAGCCGTTGACTGCAAGCGAGAATCTAAGGGAGATAACAGAGACGGTTACAGGTCGAAGATCAGGAGAGATCTTAAATTCTGCTTACCGAATTGCTTGTGGCGCTGTTGCTGGGGATGTTGCTGCTGTTGCTGCTGAGAGCCAGCAAAGTTGCGCAAGTCCAAGAAGTTTTGATGATGCAGATCTAAACCTGCGGCAGACGATTGCAACTGCTGTTGCTGTTGGGGAAACTGTGGAGCGGTCTGAAGTTGGTTTTGGGTCGAACGTTGAAACTGCTGATTGGTCTGGGGCTGTTGCTGCTGCTGATGTTGCTGCTGCTGCTGCTGTGGGAACTGCCCGAAGCGATGTTGTTGTGGTTGTTGCTGATGATGCAGATGCGTGTGCTGCTGATGGGGAGGTCCATGTTGGGCGCGGTGGGGAATGGGCAGCTCAACGCCCGCCTGGACAAAGTTTTGCTGATTGTACTGCTGCAGATTCAGCTGACGGCGCTGCGAGTTGTGAAAGGGCGGCTGCAATGAGGGCAACAAGTGAGTTACAACTTTCCATGGCGATAATTGCATCATCTCGGCCAGAGCAGAAAACCAGCTTCAGACCGAGATCCCTCGACAGTTAAAAGATAAGTCAAACACTGAGTAAACGCTCCTAAAATAGACATGAACCAGTTTCCCAGGCAGTTGTAATAGCAAACTCCGCTCCATTTTTTCGCAGGCTGAACTAGTCTTGGTGTGTGTCTGGCTTAGTTTGGCTTTGGGGGTCCTTATTGGCGGGCACTCGGTCAAGTTGAAGTCCATAAAAAGTAGCAAACTTGTTTGGACTACTTACCGCGGAAGATGAAAGTGCAACGAGCCTTTTCTCATTTAAATGATTGTAATCTCAGCCATAAAAAATGATTGCCCAAGAAATAATACCTATCATGCAGAAAGATTTCAAATGCGAATTGAGCATAAATTTAAGCGGCGAATAATGACGATCTCATGCTTCCTCCCAATTGAAGGCTGCTCTATTCACTCAGTAACCCACTTGTATTGTTTCCCATCTGCAGTTGTCATTAGTGGATCTCTCTCACAGCGACCGACCGACCTGCTTATACAATCCCAAAGTTGAGACCGCCTTTAGCCGAACTAACCGTCATACACCGCGTATACGTATTGCCAATTGAGGGGCCAAGCAAGTGGTCAGACATCAAGCAATTGTTTAACAACAGTTATCCAACACAGTTTCCAAAGGAGAAGATGAAGCTGCATCGGCAGGCGTAAATATTGCTGGACTTCGATGTTTTTTTCTTGATTTTTTGGCTTATGGCTAAACTGCTGTATGTATAATTTAATTGCCTAGGCAATAAATCTTTTTTTTTTTGCGCCGGGCTCTGCCGATGCCAGATTGAGGCGTTATCAGGGTACTCGTAGCACGGCTCTTTCTTTTCGCATGGTAATTATGTTGTTGCCGCTAATGCCGCACCTCATCATGACGCGATGTTGTCTGATGATGCCGTCAAAAGTTAACAGAGGGACTGCTATGGATTATGCAACCTAATCGGGGGGCCAATGATTAAATTGGAGAAAAGTTCAAGAGGTTCGAGCAGGTGAATGAAAGAGTTACGGTGCTCAGTTATAATGCAATAAAAGCTTACTCAATTACAAACTCAGTCATTCTTTGGATAAGTTAATTTTTCCCTGCAATCACTTTAAGACCACCTAAGCGAATCGGGAACCGGAGGGAGGATAAAAAATCCAATGCCTTGTCATGCAGCTTCATCGTACATCTCAGTTTTCATCCAGCCATTTTCTTTCTTTATTGAAGATGATTTTTCCCTACAAATTGCCTGACTGGTGAAAACGTCAATCAATCATCAATCAAATGCCAAAGCAATCAGCATCCCCCTTCCAAAAGCCACTGAACCCCAGCCATCAAAGGGCTGTGTGTATTTCTCTTTCAATTTCTACCTATTCGCCAAAATGTGTGTACGTCGTGTGTTCAACATGTCAATTTCGTGGTTAGCGTATTCATTCAACATTTTCACGGCGCTTGTATGCAAAACGCTTTCGTTTTTAAACGCCAGCGATCGATAGCCAACTGTTAATAAGCTGCGCATGCGCGTTACCATTAACCCATTGGTGGCAGGTGGCTGTAGCTGTCACCAAATGCCACCGCAACCCACGGGCTTGATACCCAACTGTCTACCACTGTGTGGAGTGTGTCAAATGGTAAAAACTCAAATTGTGGGAGTAAAATCGATTGAACCAAATCAGGAAAGTGAATAAGCAGTGCCAATAAACATTAATCACCACAATATGTTGGGTTTTTCTTCGTAATTTTTATTACTAAGGCTTTATTTTTGAACACACAAAAACCTGCACAAAAACTGGAATTTTCCATCTTGACAATCTTTTCATTTCTTTACATAAGAAAAACATCATCTTTTGAAAGGGTTGTTCGGAAAAGCCCTACATTTTCCAATGAGACTTAACATAACAAAGCGAACATGAATTTCTCCTAATCAAATTTGTATTTTTTTTACGGCTCAAAAAATAACATTAATTTGTTAGCAACTAAAATATTTGCTTAGATAAACAAAGAAAGTTACATTAAAGTAACAAATGGGGATGGGGCTCCCACAACCCATTTCCATTTCGTTACGTAAACTTTTCCATTCGAAGGCTGTCAAATCAAATGAGCATTATGCTAATCGGAGGTGATGCGACATGAGATAGCCGGCAGCAGGTAGAAGTCACTACATTCCACCAGATCGAAACCAGTTTATAGTAACATTTTTCACATGTTAGCTGGGGCGTTGAGATCCATGATGTATCTGTCAGTTACATGACTCCAGCTGCCGGCTAATTTGTTAATAATTCATAATTGATTTCTCATCACATGTCGGGTTCGGGACAGATAATATACGGCCGTGGTTCAGCCAGATGAGATACAAAATGAAAGCGAAATTTTTGGAAATTTCTTCTTTTCGGTTTCGTTTTGCAGTGAAAGTGATTTGCTTGATATTTAGTAACCATTTAAGCCGTTTATGTTAATTAGAATTTAATAGTTCAAACCGCAAGACCTTCAAGCCCCAAGAAATGGTACGCTAATTAATAGTCACCCAAAAATCAGTGGCCGTAAATTCTTCAAATCCCCAGTTGCGCAACAGCCTGAGGTATCTGCAAGATGCTTCAAGAGTCGCACAATTTACAAGATTTCGAGTTTTTTCGGTTTTGGTTTTCGGTCATGTCAATGGCCAATGGCATCCAAGCTGGCCTCGTTTCCCCCGATTGCCTTTCGGATTTCCTGTCTGCCCCGCAGCAAGCCAAAGAAAATCCAAATGCATTTGCCTTCCAGTTCTGCACTGGATCTCTTTGTGTTCTTTTTACCAATCTTGGTTGTTTGCTTTGGCGTTTTTATTTTTGGTTACCACTTTTTGGATTTCAAGGTTGTCTTTGGTCAGAACTGAGTGCTTGGCTGAAAGATCTGAGGATCTTTTTTCAGAGGCGATTGAAGGCATGTTGTGCAATTTGTGTTCTGACCATAAAAAGAGCTGCACATGTCAGATGTCAGTTTGGGCATCAATCTAATGGCTAATGAGGCTCTATGTTTTTGGGGCTATCAAAGATTATTGTATCTTGGGAAAATTAAAATTAAGTTTACAAGGAATAAGTGGGGCAATTAAAATGAACTGTATCTTAGTGTATAAAATTTGTTTCGATAGTTTATAAATAATGGTCACTAAGCCTACTTTACTTTTACTTAAAGACAACTTTATTCATCCACCATGCCTTCGTAACATTTCCACATCCTAGGCCAATAAATTGACGGATTTCAAAAACTCGGACAGATCATTGTTTAAAATTGATTTATTATTTGGCTATCATCCAGATTTTATGGATCATTAAATCGTTTGTCTAACTTATTATCGCAGTTAATCTCGATCTCACCGCATCTTAAATCTCTAAAATCGTGCTCACAGAATTTCCACATCAGCCACTCGATCAATAAAGTCCAGAATTGACTACCAAAACAACTTCGATCTTGTGGCACTAACCAGAACTGGTTAACTTGAGGGGTAACCACATCCATTCCCCCTGTTGACAGTTTCCACCAGGCAGCCAATGTGCATATTAAGCTTTTGATGGCAGTTGATGGCTTAGTTTTGTGTGGTTTCGGGTTTTTTCTTTACTTTTAAGAATTGGTCAATCCAAAGATTTGGCAATTCCCTTTCACTTTTCCGGACTATCGAGAAATGAATGCAATTTGCAAAGATGGGCCAAACCAAAAAAAAATATTTTTATGGATTTCCTAAAGGCACTTTAATTGCCAACAAAATAGCCAGCTGGCTAAGCAAATAAGTAATTAATTTGCGGCCGCACAAAAGAATGCCCGGCAACAATAGCCTCGGCAATAGTAACAGCAAAAAGTGAAATTTACATAAAATTGTGTAATTAACTGAGGTAAATAAGAAATTGCCTCAAGCGGGTCTTTTGGCCAACACCTACAACTAGCCAGAAAAAAGGGGGCCAGACACATGAAAGCGAAAGAAGCCACCGGCCGAGTAACAAAAAAAACCAAACCAAGTACAGAAACAATGAAAAGATTCCAGGCAAATGCCGCCAGCGGTTAAAACAACCCAAATGAAACAAAAACAAATATTATTTAACCATTTCGTTAAAGCCCCAGAAGAAAAGGCAAAAAGAAACTTGGTCAGCTCGGCAGATATTATCGCTGGAAATACTTTACCCTCACAAAACGGGGGAAAACTGTTTGAAAAATTGTTTACAAATAAGCCAAGTTTGCAACTGATATGAAATGCTTAATATTTTGGGAGAGAATAGTATTAAGATAATACTCTTACTCAAACATGTCAGAAAATAGAAACTTCCAATCATTAAATATTAATTAATTAATTAAAAGAATCTTTGACATCTTGGTTAACCATCTGCTTTAGTATCAACCTATTAAAGCACTCTCATGTTTAATTTGGAAACGACTCTTTATCCAACCACTTTTTATCCCAGTTAATTTGCAACTTTTGCATCCACAAAGCTCCTCGGGGATTGCATAATCGCTTGCAGCGAGACAAAATTGTGAGTTAATGCAATTGCAAGTATCTTGGCACTTCAAAACTCGACTGGCATACAAATTTAATTTAATTGAATTGAAGAAGCAGGCAAATGAGTTGGCGAATTGGGCAAAATGCCAATGGCAAAAGTTGCATAAATTTGCTTCCTGTTCGCGTTGTTTGTTCGTATCTGTATCTCAACAACGCCCACACAGGTAGCTTAAGGTAAAATCCACCAAATGCATCCGACGACACTTCGCATGGAAGCTCTGCTCATACGCTTAATTTGACACACTCTGACACTTTTTACGAGCAGGCAAGATTTATTATATCATTAGCATTGCCAGGGGCAGCATCTGCAGTTTCTTTGGCTCCGGCGTATCTGCCAGATAGTTAACTAAACTAAGCAAATGTAATTTAAATAAACCCACTTCTTTTTAGTTTTGTTTTGGTCTCGGTTTG